CATGGAAGACCAAAGCTTTTGCTCTGTCTGTTTGTCCTCGCCTTGCTAGCACGTCCATTCCTTCCCTGGCGTTACAGCCTACTTCTTCAGGATTTTAGCGTATATTGAAGACCAGTTGAGACATCCAGCCTCGTGGACTGAGCAACTACCGGATCCTTGGACTTTCCATTCACAGCCAGACATTGCTGGATTACCTGAACTACAGCCTGTAGTCATTCTAATAAATCCCTTTTCTATACAGAGATTCATCTGTAAGTTCTGTTACCCTAGAGAATCCTGAGTAATACAAGGCCCTTTCATGAGTTCATTAAGTCCGAGGAATTGTCTCTGACATCTTTCTCCTTTGTCTACCATGTCCAGTTGGAAAACTAAGTATTTGGCTGTTTTTATTTGAGTGTGTGATACTCAGGGATCAAATCCCAAACCTTGTGCATACTAGGTAAGAACTCTGCCTCTGCAAGATACCCTGTGGTGGTGTGAAGGAGATGTCCTCCATAGTTCTGGGCGTTTTGAATATTTGGTCCCTGGCTGGTGGCAGTGTTTGGGAAGGCTTGGGGGTTGCAGCATTGTTGGAGGAAGCTTATCACCTGAGGTAGACTTTGAGAATTTAAGGACTCTGTCCATTCTGAGTTCATTCTCTCTGCTTCCTGCTTGGGTTCCAAGATGTAAGCTCTCAGTTTCCAGCTGCCAAGCCTCCACTCTGCCATCATGGAACAATATGCCCAAATAAATTCCTTCTTTTATAGGTTGCCTTGGTCATGGTGTTTTATTATAGTAACAGCAAAATAGCTAATACGTATCCCCAGCCCCCTTCAGCAGGCATGTCTATAACACTCAGAGCAGTTTATTTTTCTGACACTGGACACTGAACCTAGTCCTTGCACATGTTAGGTAAGGGCTTTACCAATGAACCACATGCCCAAACCTTTGATTTTTCTCTTTAACTGCAAATCAGATTCCTTTTTAGCAACTCTCTCTTTCCCTAGTTCTCTGACAATATTGAAGCAAATGTCTGAAGTCCTTTTCTCCTAATCTACTTTTAAAACTATTTTTGTGATATGAATAATCAATCTAAAACATAAAACACTGGATGCCAGGCATGGTGGTGCACACCTTTAATCCCAGCACTTGGAAGGAAGAGGCAGGTGGATCTCTATGAGTTCAAGAAAAGCCTTGGTCTACACAGTGAGTTCCAGGCCAGCCTGGGATACAGAATGAGATCTTGTCTCAGGAAGAGAGAGAGACTGAGTCCTAAATTGTAGAAAACTGTCCAAAGTATAAAACATTGGGGTCATCAAGATGGCTCCAAGGAGAAAGGCATTTGCTAGTTTGATCCCCAGAACCCACAAAGTAGAAGCAGAGATGGAGGCATGAAGATCAGGAGTTCAAGGTCACCCTTGCTTCTAAAGTGAGTTTAATGCCAGCTTGAGGCACATGAGACCCTGCCTCAAATAAACAAGAGACTAGCAAGACGACTTAAGGGGTAAAGGCACCTACCACCCTACCACCCTACCTGACTACTAGAGGGAGATCTCCAAGACATAAGAGGTGGAAGGAGAGCCAACTCCTGAAAGCTGTCCTCTTCTCTCCACTCCCCCACGTCCTGGGAAGCAAGTATCACCTCACTCAAATAAACGAATTCACTGAAAACCCATACATTCCATTACACAAACATACAAGCAGGCCTGGGGATACAGTTCATTTGGCAGAGTGCCTGCCCGGCCTGCCTAACACCCAGACCCTGAGTTTGATACACAGCACCCTATGTGTAGTATATCTGTAATCTCAGCTAGGAAGAAGAAAGAAACAGGGCTTGCTAGTCATGGTGGCACAAGCCTTTAATCACAGCATTTAGGAGGCAAAGGCAGGAAGATCTCTGAGTTCAAAGCCAGCTAGTTCTACAAAGTCAGACCTTGTCTCAAAAAAAAAAAAAAAAAAAGAAAGAAAAGAAAAGAAAAATGAAAGAAATTTAAAGACTAAAAATGGACAGTTATCCTTGACTACATAGTGAGTTCAGGGCCAGCTGGGATAGATACCTGGGACGCTGTGTCAAAATCAAGATGATGATGATGATGATGATGATACCTATTTATGGACCTTTGGATTATAAAATGACTGAGGCAAACAGAAGCCACAATCTGAGCCTTTTGTGTGGGGCATTGGCAATCCAGTCCAGGGCTTGGCTTGTGCTATGCAAACTTTCTACCACTACACTCCACATTTCCAGCTCTCAGCCTGAAATGCAGAGGCTTCCTCAAATGTTCACAACATTTCATTTCTCACCATTTTTAAAGGAAGAGACCGAGATTCTGAGATTCAAACACTTGGTCACAAGATGGCTCATGGCTGTGCTGATTTCAAACCCACTTTCAATCAAGCTCAACTAACTGCCACTGTGCCACAATTGTGTTTGTAAAGGATCATTTCTACAGTCGTCCAGAGAATTGTTGTCACTGTGCATGTTTGACTTGCTGTAGATTTATAAACTAAAATCACCAAAAAACAGCCCTGTTTGAAATCTAACCCCAATACGGGATAATGAAAACAAAGAGTTTTGCTTGCAATTTTCTCATTTTCCAACTCAAGTTTGGCACGAAAGAGTAATTTATTTAGAATGTACAATTGCTGTTAACAACAGTCTCTAGTGCAGAAAGGACTCTGGTTAACATTTATAAAGTGGAAGGGGCCCAAGTTGGCCAAAAGGAAGAACATGGAAATTCTGCCCACAGCCAGAACAATGGACATAGATTTGTCCAAACAAAGAACAGTTAAGGGAGGGAAGACAATTTGTCCAGCCCTTGTTATGATATTTTATGACTATTTTTCCAGTGGCCAATTTCCTATTCACTTTAACAAAGAAAAAAAGATTAAACAAAAATAAATGTAACATTTTGCGAGTTTATATTATCCTTTGGCAGAAACAAATAAATTACTGTGTTCAAAGTCCAGCCCCTGAAAACAATCTGGAGTCATATGATTACAGTGCTGTAGAAGTAAGTTTCAAGACTTATTGTTCATCTTTGGTTCAACTGCAAAGTTTTAATGTTAATAAAGGTTAAACTCAAATTCTGGGGATCTGCTCAGGACAGAGAACTTGCTTAGTGATTTACAAGTCCCCAAATTCCACACAGGCTCACAAAGTGGAAAATGGGGAGTTGGTAGGGAGCTTTCTTACCATGCAAGGATCCTCAACCTGATATAAACTGGACATGCAGTGCATGCAGGTCAGTGATCCCAGCAGTCCCCAAGTGGAGACAGGAGGTTCAAGGCCAAGTTTGGGTGAGTGTGGTAGCACCTTTAGTCCTAGAACCCAGGAGGTAGAGGCAGGCAGATCTCTGAGTTACAGGTGGGCCTGATCTACATAGTGATATCAAGGCCAGCCAAGGCCACATAGTGAGACTCTCAAAACAAAACTTTTCAGGGTCATCTTCACATCCTCAGCTTCTTTGTGAGTTTGAAGCTAGACTGCTCTACGTGAGACCCAAACTCACCCCTGAGCCCCCCAAGGGAAAACAAATAGGTCTTTAAAAATGTCTTCCTCTTTAGGCGATTGTTCAGACCTAATCAACACACTTCATGACATTGCACAACAGAACCTTGGCTCTCACACTGTCTACCTGGCCTTTAGACGGCTCGTTAAAGAGCTATGTCTAGAGCTAGGAAACAACATCACTGACTGGAAAAGACGTTAAAAACGTAAGCCTTGAGTTTAAAGTACAAAGCTGAAAAAAGAAACAAAAGCAAAACCAAAACCAAAAAAAACAGGTCCTGAGAATAAACCACAAAGTGGAGCCAAGAGCACTCTCGATTTAAACACTGTGTGGGCGGCACATTCTCCTCTCTGGTTCACGGTGGGCACCAGGGCTTCCCGGCTCTTCGTATTTGTCAAGCCTCACTCAAGTGCTGTTAAAAAATATAGTTGTGCGCCGGGCGGTGGTGGCGCACGCCTTTAATCCCAGCACTTGGGAGGCAGAGCCAGGCGGCTCTCTGTGAGTTCGAGGCCAGCCTGGTCTCCAAAGCGAGTTCCAGGAAAGGTGCAAAGCTACACAGAGAAACCCTGTCTCGAAAAACCAAAAAAAAAAAAAAAAAGAAAAAAAAAAAAAAGAAAAAAAAATACGGTTGTGCATATGCATTTTTAATATACAGGGTTTGGTTTGGTTTGGTTGATAAGCCGAAAGTCGGCACCAGCGAACAGTGTTTTTGTTCTGTTGCTTTATCTTGCTGTAGTTAGTTTCATAGAGTGGGCTTTGCTTTCAACCTATACATGCAATACACGTAACCAAGAAAAAAAAACCTGCAGGAACAAACGGCTAACACAAATTCACACATCGAAGGCCTCTCTGCTTATTCAAACATCCCCTAAGAGCATTCCCATTACGATCGGGGCTTCATTTTTAAAGCCTTAGAAACTACCACTGCTTTTGCAACGGTAGTGAGTTTTCACTACACAATACGAGATTTTGAAGAAAACTGTCTAAACTTTCAGTTCTGGGAGAGGCCGGTGCCTAGGGCAGGTAGCACACAACCTCCAGTCACTTTGCAGCTGAGTTTTAAATGGGTGAATTAATTCAGTGGCATGGAGCAAACGTCCGAGCGACCTCAGAAAGCCTTTGGCAATACGCGTCTGTGTGTGTTGGGAAAGGGATGTGGGGTGAGAATTGAAAGAGTTTGTGCAGATCCTCTTTACAGCACAAGAGATAAGCCTCCGGAGGTTCTGGAATATATGCACAGATTCAGGAAAACAAAACCCACCCAGGTTCTCAGGAGAGTGAGAGACACACCCAGATCAGTCAAAATCAGCTGGACTACGGTGCATGGTGGGAACCCCCTGCCGTAGCGCCCCACGAGCCCCTTCTCAATCCTGTGTAAGCGTCCCCCAACCAGCCCTGCGTCCGTTTCCCCAATAGTCGCTGCTCTACTCCCACCCACTCTGTGCCCTCCGCTTCCCCGGCATCCTTCCCCGCTGGGTGGTCGCGCCACCCGAACTCCCGGACACTCACACGTGGCCACAGCGGGTCCGAACCGGCTGATGTAGCACCTCCAGGCACACCGAGCAGTCGAAGGAGGTGATGGGAAGCTCCGGGTCCCCGCTGCGCTCCAGGGGCCGCGGGGAGGCGGAGGCGGGCGCGGACTTGGAGCTGTCGCTGCTCAGCAGGGAGCCCATCGCTGCGCGCTAGCTCTGCAGGCTGCCTGGAGCTCGGTGCGGGCTGCGGGGGGGTTCTGTTGTCCCTCCCCGGAGGAAGGAAGTCCCGGCCCAGCCGGGATCGCCGCCTCCTGGCTCGGCCAGCCGCGTCGGTCGCGGGGCCTCTCGGTGGAGCGCAGGCAGAGCGCGCGGCTGCCGCTTGCAAACGCTCTTCCGCGAGCGACCAGGCGCTGCAGAAGCTCGAGGTCCCCGGAGGGTGAAACCTGAGCATTCCACCCGGCGACCGCACTCAGAGTTCTGCAAAGTGCAGTTTGGGAACACCCACTGGAGACCGGATGACTCTATCTGGCCTCCAAGTTGGTATCTTAATAAGCTTCAGAGCCGACCTATGACCATTTCGGTGATTGACTCAATACTTCAATCAGGGAGAGATAGATAGCCCGGGGCAGTGGAAAGTTTCCTGATCCAGAGCCCCACTTGGTGGTATACAAATACGATGGCCCGCAGTCGGGCAGAAGGATTGCTGAGAGTTCGAGGCCAGCCTGGGCTGAATTTGAACACGGCTGTGTTTCAAAAGTAGACAAATAAGCCAGATATCATGGCTTATGCCTTCAGTGTCAGAATTTAGGAGGATTATCCAAAGTTTCAGGGCAGCCTGGACTACATAGTGAATTCCAGAACATTCAGGGCTGGTGGAATGAGACCACCTCAAGCAAACACCACCATTTTAGATGTAGTTCAGTGGTGGTGTGCTCGCCTAGCCTGTGTGAGGTCTGGGTTGGTTCCCCGGTACTGATGTAAATGATAAAGTGAAGAATAAAATAAAACTCACACCTGCATACGGTGGGGCACGCCTGTAATAACAGTACTTGAGAGGCTGAGCTAGGAGGGAAAAATAGGTTGGAGACAGCTATAGATTTAATCCAATTGTATGGACAAATACACACTACTCTGTGGGCTATCCATAATACTACAAAATATGTGATGGATTACAGTCTCCTGGGCTTCACCCAGTTTCTCCTAGTCTTTACCTTTTTACGTTCGTTTTTTGAGACTTTTAAATTTTTTTTTCCCCCTCTTTTCAAGACAGGGTCTCTTTGTATAGCTCTGGCTGTCCTGGAACTTGCTTTGAAGGCCAGGCTAGCCTCAAACTCAGAGAACCGCCTGCATCTGCCTCTGCTGGAATTAAAGGCATGTACCACCATGCCCAGCTGACACTTTTAATTTTTAATTTTATTTTATGTTGTTTAATTTTATGATGCTGGGCCTTGTCTCTCAGGCAAACACTCAATCATTAAGCTGTAACTCAGCTCCCTTTTTGCTTAGTTTTTGGTTTTGATTGTTGTTGTTTTTGAAAATGGGCCTTACAGTGCAGCCCTGGCTAGCCTGGAGCTTACTATGTAGGCCAAACTGGCCTTGAATTCCTGGAGATCTGCCTGCCTCTTTGTCCTGAATGCTGGAATTAAAGACAAGCACCAATGTAGGCAGAGTTTTCCTGTCCTGCAGCCACTCTCAAACACACCGAGGCTTATATTAATTATAAATGATCGGTCAATAGCTCAGGCTTATTACTAACTAGCTTTTACATTTTAAGTTAATCCATATTCCTTATTTATGTTCTGCCATGTGGTGGTACCTTTATTAATGTGGCATGTTTATCTCCTGCTCCCTCTGCATCTGGCTGGCAACTCCAGACTCTGCCCTTCTTCCTCCTCGAATTCTCTTTGTCTGGCTCTCCTCCCTAACCTTATTCTGTTCAGCTATTGGCCAGTCAGCGTCTTTATTAAACCAATCACTGTGACATATATTTACACAGTGTAAAGAAATATTCCACAGCACACCAACATGCCTGGCCTAGCCATAGGCTAATGAACATGTTTACAGTATCAAGTATGTATTCTCTCCTTTTGACCAGGCCTAAAATCCAATCAGAAATCAGTTGGTTAACCCCAGAACAGTCATGCCACTATTACATCAGTGATAGGCAATTTTTGCAGGTAAAGTTTTTGTTAGAAGTAAATGGATGGAATGGACAGTGACGCTTACCAGATGGAGTTAAACACATGCTCTGTCTCTGACTTTACTCATTCAGCAGGCATTTAATGAGGGAGCCTACTTTGTGTCAAATATATCACTAGTCATCAGGGGCAGGATAAGGGATGTTCTAGATAGTTAGTTAGCATTAACTGCGAACTTGACCCAGTCTAGAAAGTAACTGGAGAATTGTCTTTATCAGGTTGTTCTCTGGGCTTGTGTATGACAATGAGAAGTTGTCTTGGTTGTTTGTCGATGAAGGAGAGCATAGCCCACTGCAGGCAGCACCTCTCTCCAGGTGGTCCTGAGCTATATAAGAAAGCTACCTAAACATGAGCCTGGGAGTGAGCCAGAAAACAACGGTCCTCCATGGTTTCTGTTTCAGCCTCCTGCCTTGAGTTCCTTCCATGAATTCCCTCGATAATGGACCGACTGTGACCTGGAAGTGAAGCCTAATAATTTTCTTTTGGTTGGATTGTTTTATTGTAGCAACAAGAAGGAAACAAGGACAGACCAAGGAGTAGACAGCTACTGGTTTTGGCCACTGAGTGCCTCTTCACCCTCACTGTCCTTCTCTTTGGGTGGATTCTTTTCTTCATCTCTGAATTTAAGAGACTCTTCTGACTGACTACTGTGGACCTCAGTGGTAAAGGCAATGCAGTGTATGTTTATGTATGTTTCCATGACACACAGTGACTCTGGAGTGCTACCACTCACTGTGGACTTTTCAACCTCATGGCCCTCCCTTTTCATGGAATCACAGCTTTCCTAGCACCTACCTCATAGAGGATGATGCACTTCCTCTTTATCTCCTGCCTTTACAGCTTGCAGCATTTTACCAACACTTCCTTTTTCTCTTGCATAATCTATTCAGTTAGTCTGTGGTTTACACCAAAATTGACACCTCTTTCCTGTCCTCAAGGCTTTTATTCTGACAGATAAGCTCTTAAGAAAATAACATCTTGCCGGGCGGTGGTGGCGCACGCCTTTAATCCCAGCACTCGGGAGGCAGAGCCAGACGGATCTCTGTGAGTTCGAGGCCAGCCTGGGCTACCGAGTGAGTTCCAGGAAAGGCGCAAAGCTACACAGAGAAACCCTGTCTCGAAAAACAAAACAAAACAAAACAAAAAAAAAAAAAAAAAAGGAAAATAACATCTTTAGCTGGGCAGTGATGGTGCACACCTTTAATTCCAGCACTCGGGAGGCAAATCTCTGTGAGTTCGAGGCCAGTCTGGTCCACAGAGAGAGTTATAGGACAGCCAGGGCTACACAGAGAAACCCTGTCTCAAAAAATCCTCCCCCTCAAAAAGAAAAGAAAACCTTTCTAATAAAGTATATCATCAGTGATCAGAATCTATGAAAGGAATGAGGATGCTGACTTCACCCAGAGTGTGTAAGGAAGGAGAGAGCAAGAAAGAACCTTCTGGAGTTAGAGATGTAGCTCTCAGTTGGTAGAGTGCTTTCCCAGCATACAGAAAACTGGGTTTCATATCCAGCACAGCAGAAACTGCGTGTGGCAGTGCCCATCTGTAATCCCAGCTCTGGGGAGGTGGAGGCAGGAGAATCAGAAATTCAAGGTCTTCCTCAGCTATGTAGCAGATTTGAGGCCTGCCTGCTTGACACACCTAGGCCTATCTTAAAAAGTTACAAATACCAGTATGGTGGTGAAGGCCTTTAACCCCAGCACTTTGGAGGCACAGGCAGGTGGATTTCTGTGAGTTTGAGGACAGCCTTGTCTACATACCAAGTTCCAGAACAACCAGGGCTACATAGAGAGACCCTGTCTCAAAAATAAAAGTAGAAAATAAAAAAGACAGAAAAAGAAAGAAAAAAAAAACCAAAACGAAACAGAAAACAGCATTCCATAGCTAGTCATGATGGAGCATGTCTTTAATCTCGGCACTCAGGGGGCAGAGATAAGACATTGTCTGTGAGTTGAGGCCTGTCTATATAGGGAGTTCCAGGACAACCAGGACTATATAGTGAGAGTCTGCTAGGAGGAGGAGGAGGAGGAGGAGGAGGAGGAGGAGGAGGAGGAGGAGGAGGAGGAGGAGAGAAGACATTTCAATTTCAAATGGAAGGAAAATCCAAGTGTTCCAGACAGATGGGGATGACTGGACTGTGGTGAGCACAGACAAGGGGTCAGGAAGCCCCAAGCTCCGCCTCTGAAAGCTGCATTCAGTTCCCTGATGCTCGGATTTCCAGCACCCAGCACTCAACAGAGAGAGGGGAAACTGGAGACGAGGCGGTGTGAACACGAAAGTGGCCTTGGTTGTATTTTCAGTTGGCTTCTGTGGCTTTACAGACCCAATTCAGAGCTTGAGCAAGTCAGTGACATGGCCATATCGGCAGTTCTGTCACGTCATCCTGTCCTCAAGTTGCCTTGCGTCAGGCTCACCTGAGAAGCCTGTTGAAATGGCTCGATGCCAAGATACCAGACTTCAGTGTCTGGGTGAGTTATGAAAGCTACACGTTAGCTGGCTGAGGTGGTGCCCTCAGGAAGCGAACTCAGGAGGATGGCTGAAGAGTGCCATGAGGCCAGCTCAGGGTATACAGAAAGACCTTCGCTCAGAAAGGGAAAGCAAACAATAGCACATCAAAATAAAAACCAAACCAGACAACCAACTAGACAAACACCTTACGTTTTAACCAGTGCCCAGCTGGCCGCACACAGGGCTCAGTGGGCCATTCCTGGAGAAGCAGTTTAGTGGTTTCTACTGCAGCCGGCTCTGTACGTTACTGTGGCAGGAGCAAACCTGCCAGGCGGCAGGAGAGCCGCTTGCTTTGATTTTGGCACAATTTGAACCTCCTCACCACCAGGTGGTGTCTTGCTGGTCAGACACTCTGGCCCTGAAACATGGGTATTATCTCCACGCTTACACGGACCACTTCACACATTCTCCCTTATAATCCTATGGGTGTAGCATTGACTTATAACACTCGACAGAAACATCTGAGATGTGCTCTTGAATAGTGTGTAGCACCTTCACAGTGATAAAATGAAGAGTCGTTTCTTTTGTAGAAGGCAGTACTTAGGGATGGAAACCAGGGCCTTACACATGTTAGGCATATGCTCTGTATTAAGCTGTCTTCAGAGCTTTATTATTATTAATAATAATTTTTACTTACTTTTTTTTTTGAGACAGGGTTTCTCTGTGTAGTTTTGGTGCCCGTCCTGGAACTGCTCTGTAGACCAGGCTGGCCTTGAACTCACAGAGA